AGCCACGGCATCCAAATAGTAAGAGTTGTGCCCCTGTGTGGTTGTACAACGAGACTCTTCCCTGTCTTCTGCATCTGCATAAGAGACCAGGGAAACAAATCTTCTTCCACAGTATTGTATTGCCTTGAAAGCAAGTGTGGTGCCGCAAGGAGCACGAGTTGGTCGAGCCTGGGTCCGCTCTGCTGGGTACGGCGAGAAGCCCCTCTACTACGGACTTATTATAAGATGCCATGTCGGGAGCCACTGAGAAAGATTATCCCGAGTTTTCCGAAGGGATAGCGGAGAATGAGTCTTCAGACCTCTATTCCGTCCATTATCTTGGAGTAAAAGAGACCTTCGACCCCGCATATCGCGACATGGCTGAGAGCAGATTAAAGTCGGAGATGGATGAGAACAGGGTAATGCTTGGTGCCGGGACCGTCACAAAGCTTAAGTTGGACCCCAAAGATCCGCTCAGACCGCGGAGAAAGAAAGCACGCCGGGCTTGTTTTGCTTGCCAGCGAGCGCACTTGACGTGTGGTAAGTCGTTTGTTTGCTCCAGAGATTCCAGAAGAGAAACTGATGTCGTAGGCGACGAGCGCCCGTGTCAGCGATGTATCAAGCGAGGCCTTGCTGGTGATTGTCAAGATGGTGTCCGAAAGAAGGCCAAGTACCTTCACGACACTTCAAATGAAGCACTCCGGTCGACGCTGGGTGCAAACTATAACCCAATCAATCATTCACCATCCATCAATGATGCAGTCGTAACGAGGAGAGACTCTGATGCCTCGCCTCGTACGGAAAGCTTTCTTTCGTCCGAAGCGGCCCCTCCATATCCCAACGCCTTTTCTCAGCCGAATCCCATGCTGCTTCCTCATTCGACACGGCTCTCTTATCACGGCCAGGGCACTCCAATGTCGCCTCCATTCAGTCGCCAAGGATCTGGACACAGTATTTCCATGCCCCAGCCAACCAGCGATAATCGAGTTCCCTTTGAGGCACCAGTATTTGCGCAGGTAATCAATCCCCCGCCTCTATTCAACATGGATCTTGAGGGCTTAAACTTCGGGAATCACTGTGGAGCTTTGGGATTTGGCATGCTAGGACATATTTCATCTGGAATTTCGGATGCTTTGGCTAAAGACCCGCTACAACCAGAGCATATATCTACGTCACAGTCATTAGGGGTAATCAATTTCGGTAGCGACATATACAGTAATAATATGACTCCCTACGATGCGATCTTTTCAAATAATGTGATGGATTTCGGAGAAATATCAGGCAATCAAATTCAATCAGTACCCAAAGGCTTACCCCACGGATATGCCATGGCCACGGGTCCCCATAGCCAGTATAGTCCAAGTACGGAAGAAACCCCGAGTATTAATGGTGTATATGATATATCTCCTACCACTACAACTTTCACGCAAAACCATTCTCAACACCATCCAACTTTACAACCTCATAAGCCCCCAAAACATATTAGCACTAATAGTATCGGCAAACCTGGAACAATTCCCTTAACTAAAAAGCGTTCGCGCGATTCTTCGGCCGTCTACAACAATGTACGCGAACCTTACTCCTACACAGCCGGTTTTCACAACCTTACGACTTTTCTTCAGCGCCGCTTTCCCGCCCATGTCATCCTTCGCATCGCTAAATCGCTTGCATCCATTCGGCCCTCTTTTATTGCTTGCGCCCGAACCCTCACTCGCCAGGATCTAATTTTCATGGAGACCTGCTTTCAACGCACTCTCTTCGAATACGAAGAGTTCATGCATCATTGCTGCACACCGACTATTATCTGTCGTCGCACTGGCGAGATTGCGGCTGTAAATAATGAGTTTTCGCTTTTGACGGGCTGGCGCAAGGATATTCTCCTTGGCCGGACAGGCAACCTTGATATCAATAGAGGAGATGACTTATCAGCAAACGCGTGCCCACAAGTGAAGCCAGATCAGTCGATACGTCAGGACTCAAGCTCACAGCCTGTCTTCTTGGCGGAGTTGCTTGATGACGATAGTGTTGTGGAGTTTTACGAAGACTTTGCACGGCTTGCCTTTAATGATTCACGTGGTAGCGTAACGACGCAGTGTAAGCTGCTCAAGTATTGCGCGCACAGTCAAAAGTTCACTCGCTATAGCTCTGTCTGCGCCGTCCCTGATGATTGTAACTTCGAAGGACCCGAGGATAATGGCGGAAAGCGCATAGAAGGTACACTACACGGTAGCACTATTGATCCAAGAAAGGAGTTTTGGGGAGTGGATAACAAGCACGGCATCGAATACCTTGAACGAGATGGAAAGTTGAATTGCAGCTATTGCTGGACAGTAAAGCGGGACGTCTTCGATATTCCCATGTTAATTGTGTTAAATGTTGGTCATTCCCCTCTTCAAACCCCCTCTTGGACTCAAATGAGGTCTATACTGACCGCATTCTATGTGTTTAGTTCCTGCCTTGCATCTGAACACCATCCAATTGTACTATTATCGTACCATCTAGGCATCGTCTCACAAAATATTCTCCTTCGTCGACAATCCTAAACAGCTCTTTCTCCCACTCCCTAGCTCGTTTCTTTTCCTCGCACTTATGAAACATCATTGTCGACCTACCAAATTTCGCGCTCTTATGTATGCTATGATGGATTTTCCTGGGGTTTAATGGCATGTGGGTAGATACCAGGCGTATGAGTTAGAAGGAACTAGATTGGGAGCCCGGACTAGCTATGGAATAGCTAGTGGCGTCTGTGCATTCTTGGTTGATTTCGGGGAGGGGGCGTGAGGGTGAACTCATCTAAGCTATTCTTCCGTACCTGCGAGATTCTTCTTTCCTCCGATCGTGCCCCGTCTACCTTCATGGTGTTCCTTGCCGTGCTTGAATCTCCGACATAAGCGTTAATTATTTCTATCTCTCGCTTACCCACCGTCAGGCTTGACAGGCCTGGTAAAATGAGTGGGGCGTGCAAGGAGGATATCTGGACTGTCTCGTTCGTGAAGTCAGGCCATATTTGCACGACGTGACCAGCAAGGCAACTTCAAATTGGCCCCAGGTCATAAGTTATGCCATAGCGGGCGGGGAAAGAGTACAGTTTAAAGATTAGTTGGACGGAGAGAAACGAGGGTATTCTAGTTGGGGAAGGAAGATTGAAAATAAGTTTACGAGATTCAGAACCAGAAATTCTCGATGGCTGGTCGATACCCAAACTTGATCTGTCTATGGTGGGGCTTACTCCTAAGTCCACAATCACCGTCATTATTACCTCCGGAACAAAATCTCATATTTGCCATTGATATTTCGCGAAGAGTTACTGAAGATTGTAGTACGTCTATGGTACGTTTATTGACAGAAGCCACTTGCTCGTTCATTCAATGCATGAATTGATTAGGGTAGTTGTGGACAGGGATAACTTCTTAGGAAGGCGTGGATAAATTAGAGAAATTCCGGTTGGCTCCATCGACAGTCGAGAGGAAATAAACCAAATGGACTAAGTGAATGGCGTATCGGCTCATCTAAAATCGGAGGGCTTTGCGCGTAGCTCTAGTTGCACTGGCTCGGCAGCATGGACTTCATACCACGCAAGATTCGATAACAAGAGGCTAAAAGATACACCTAGGCACCAATTCGATTGGTTGTGATCGATCCCGGCATGAAGGCAGATGAATTCTACTATCGCTCTGCTTGAAGATTTTGATGAAGCTTTACTCTCGCGTGGCATGACCAACATGACATAATTTCCGCAACAGCCAGCGCGTCGAGGTTCACGATACGAAGAACCTGGCTGAGCGGCGGTGATGCCTTCAAAATCAATTGATTTAAGAGACGTGAGTTTGAGCCAGGGTCATCGGTTGTACGGAAAGGCCGCAGATGACGGCTGCAGTGGTGGGAGGGCGGATAGATGAAGTCCTGACAACATGCTGTCCGAAGGCCGGCAGAACGTCGCTATTGTTGTGACGGCACAACAGGAGGAGCGGGGAGGTGTCGGTTCGTTAGGTATGGTCCTGCTTCCCATGAGTTGCTGGCCACTATAGGTCGCTATCCGTGCCGCTACTGTTGTGGCGCACGGCATGGAGGGGTGTCATTTCGTGATCTTCAAAGATGTGGACATGCATGGGGGTGGCGTGCATGTCTAGCTTGCATCCTGAGAGTCTTGTCGTCTGGCAGATTTTCTGTTCAGTTAACTCGTCCTTGCAAAGGGAGGGTTGGTGTAGTGCTGGCGTCTATTTGTTGTGTTGCATGGAAATAGTAGCCACGTGGCCTGTTCAGCTGTTACCGACTGCTTGGTTCCGAGAACCAGAAGCGACAGCCCTGGTGGCCAGTCGTCGCTGTTGGCATTCAGGCGTCAGTATCCTCGCTCGAATTATTTTAATTAAGCCAAGCGTTCATCGTGTCGCAGGTCTCTCCTACTAAGACTCCCTCAGGACTCAAAATAGTACTTGAGAATAGGCCGGCCTGAAGGAATTATGATCTGTCAGGTTCGTACACTACAAGCCTGGCTTGAAGCTATCTGTTGGCTGGAATGACAAAACTACTGCAGGCTTTCGTAGCAGCTTCGAAAGAATCAACAAGACAGTTTCAATCATGTAAATTATTCACCGTAGCAATCGATTCGGATACAATTCGTTCACCACAACTGGATGATGATAAAACCTTGCCGCCCTTTTGTCTATAATTTTGATGCACGCTAGCTTATGAGGGAGGATCGCGCTGCAAACTCTTACATTTAACCTTTACTTACAGGCTGATGATGATATTTGCAAGACTTCCTTGAGAGTCCAAGTAGTTCAAATCTAGCGACTGTGCGAACTGCGTTATATTTAATAGATGTACAAAACCCTACCTGTTTCTTCGCCTCTTGATTACAATAGAGTTTTGCCCCTAATTAAACCGATCTGACAAAACCTGATACATCTGCTCGTTGATGACTACTTTCCGTCTTCGATTGCTTCCATAGTATATGTTATGTAGACGAAATTTCTCAAGGCTTATTTCAAAGATCCCTTGGGCGAAGCGTCCTCGACATCTCAGTTCCTACGAATCTCCCACTTTAGATCCATGATACTCACTTCTTCTCCTGATTTCTCATCATAGTCGTACCATTCTCCTTCGCTGAGATTAATCCCTTCAAAGTGAGTGCTAGATTCAATACCTGTGGCAAGCCAATCGCCCTGAAATTAGTTAGGCTCCAAATATCTCTCAAACTTAATTCGGCTGTGGCCTACTTCCGGTATAAATTCTACTAGCTCGAGTCCCCGACAGTCAAATTCCAAAACTTTTTGGCGCTGAGGCGGAGATCCTTGCTGGTATGCAATGGGGGGCGCCAGGATTGTTGCCGATGATTCTCGCTGTAAAGTTCTTAATCTTCTGAATGAACAACTGTAAATGGCCGAGTAGATACTGACTGACCTTACACGACCTGCATTTCCAGACAAAGTTGGCTTCACCTCGACTACCGCTCATTTGATTGGCCTCCTGAAACTCAATTAGGAGCGCGAAGAGCTAGTAGTAGATGCAGCGGAGGTCAAGAGTTACGCACAAATCGGCTGATATTCACAGCATTCGAATGGACGTCGCGGCATGAGGAACACTGGACTTTAAATGTGTACCAAAAGGGGACCTCAGGCGTGTCATCAGGTCTAAGTTCAGTCACCCTGTTGATAATTAAAAACATACTTTCTCAATGGATAATCCCCAACTCACCCCGTCAAATCAGCCGTCAAAGTTAGGGTAAGCATTTTGGCAGGGCAGGTTTAACGTTGCTAGCTCGGATTCATGCCGAGGCAGTTATGAGAGTGCGCTCAAAAATTGAAGTCACTTGTATTCAGTTAGGAGCGCCATATGTGTCAGGATTGTTGTGCATTACGGCCGCTCCGACGCTACCTTCCCTTGTCGAAAGCCTCGGCGCCGCGAAGTCGCCATTTCAAATCCCCGCCAGCACACTAAGCAAAGAATACAGAGACAGATTCCTCAAAGGTATGTCTAAGTAATGCCGATTGCCCGGTCTCGGGTTGTGCGGGCAATATCTACCACTGGATGTACTGCCTGCCTGCCCTTCACGACGAATATGGCCGGCCGCGGTGTCGAAGCAGCGACTAGAAAAAGTCTGGCTCTGGGTGATATATTCGCAACATGTTATTCGACCATATTCGCCATCGCTGCCTTGGTAGATTTGAAAGCGAAAAAAAAAAGACGGCACGAATGGGATCGCTTGATTGCAGAGGCGCGTCTAGGGCCGCCATCAGCTGAGGAATCGCTGTCTCCAGTGGAAACAGATGCACAGTCGCAGTCATTATGTTATATCCCAATCGAAACACCTTCAAATAGTGAGGATGTGGCGGTGGGCTCTGCTATTTTACGGCCCAGGGTGCGCCACTCCCAGCGACCCAAGTTAAATACCCACGTATTCTATCGACAATTTTCTTCCACCTACCAACCTCCGAACGATATCAGTCTAAATTATCTACCAATTGATACTATTTCAGATGCTTCGCTCACAGCATATACGCACAAGGAACTGGACCCTGATGCGCCCGAACGCGATATCACGGACCCGTCCGAACTATATCTTTTACAAGTCAATATTAACAACCTAGTATCCAAACTTCTCCAAAAATCAACGTTTTACTGGACTGGAAGTAGATCTGACAATGAAGGTCATGATATCCCCTTAAAAGAACAATTAGAAGAGCTGAAGCAGTGCCTTCAATCCCTAGAGACATCAAACGAATTGTTACCGCAGTATGTTCAAGTGAACCTTGAAATAGCAAAGATGGAAGCAAGAGAGTTTAATGCCATACTCTGGAATATTTGCAACAAAGCAAGGCAAGATGAAGATAGCCTAAATCTCATGATCGCCAAAATCTGTTATAATCTCCTCATTTCGTCAGTACCTCCTAACATTGAGACCTACAATATACTATTGACTGAATTTGCTCTGATAAATCAGCATGATTTAGCTGAGGAAATTCTCGAATCATTCTGGTACAGCAGATTAAGACCCAATAAGAAGACAATAGAGCTCATCATTCTTCACTACAAAGCTACCAAGAATAGAAAAGGTTTAGATAAAATAGTAAGACATATGAGAGGTGTGGAAGGTGACCTTATGATGAGCTCCATTGATGCCAGTAGTCAACGGCCTAGCTGGCCCTCCCCTGAAGAGTATCAACAGGGACTGAAACAATTTGAGTTGAACGAAAAAACAATCCGCAGACAAATGCGGATGAATAAGCTATTTTATCGCTCTGGCAATTTGTACAAGAAGTCGCCGCGCGATGGACATATCTTTGATGCCCTTATAACGGCCCATCTCGAATTGAAGGGATTAAGGTCAGCGGCTCGGTATGTCGCAGCTGCAGTTCGAGAGGGATTCAGAGTTAAAGCGGCGACTTTGTGTGTAGTAATTAGAACTAGTATACAACTTGCAGATTTCACCACAAGCCTAAAGCTACTGATGATTATTCTTTCACAGTGGAAAATTTCAGGGTACCAAGCGCAAATCCCCCTCACACCTTTATTAAGACACGAAATTAAACGGCTCTTGTACTTCTGCGGCATCGATCCGCAACGAGGCGTTGATGGGCATCTCCCATTAAGAATCACCAAATACACAGAGGATATGATTCTTCAGGAAACAGAATACCCCAAGGAGGCGTTAAGGAAAATGTTACATATTATGAAGATAGACGACATAATGGATCAAATAGATAGAATATCAGTTCTCATTATGTCAGTGGGTAAAGCTCTCAAGGATCAGGGAGATCTTACCACCTTGGATACCGGAGTGAAAGAAGCGCTTCGCGTCCTAGGTGAATTATCAAATACTAAACAAAAAAGCCAAGTCGAAAATAAGGAACAGCTTGACCTAGTGGAAGGAAGGGCCCTCACCATCCATGGACTCGAGGCCAATTTGGTAACAACTATCTCAGTGAAAGTTGAGTTAGTGGCACGCTTGCTGATGATAAGGATACAGCGGTGCGCCATCAGGCTCGAAAGGATGGCTTCTATAGATTCTCAGAGCAAGGTTAATTCAGCCAGGATGAACATTTTACAAAATCTAAGTATTCATGTGGGCATACTACATTCCCAGTTAAGGATAGAGACGCATCTTAATCTTTGGTGGATTCGAAGACTAGGGTTCATTGCGACCACCTTCCGGTCCGATGCTCAACACTATAGGTTGTTTACAGTCATCCGGAATCTTAACCGTGTTGAGCTAAAAACCAATAACTTGTGGACAAATATGATATCTAATGGAGAGTGTCACCTCCAAGCTATGTGAAAAAACACTCGAAGGCATCTTCGTTGGCATGTGAGAAAATTCAATGACTAGGCAGCACCCCTACTCATGCAATACTTTAAGTCTAGTTTTGTGATGTTTACCATGTCTCCTGTCAGTTTAAAAAGGGATACGGCTCGAGACAAAACAGACCAGTAAGTCTAGTCGACGAACAACCAAGACAAAAAACCAATGTCTTCCCACTCGTCCCTGATATAATCACTTCGAAAAACAACAAACCTCAATAAAGCTCAACCGACACTTCCGACGGATAAGGTGATCTAACTCCTTAAATTTGTCTTTTGGAGGCAACATGCGCAAGTAGTTCCTTATGGAACTCGAACCATTTAGCGCTAGGATCTATTGTATTGCGAAATCCAGACGAAGTTTCTGGCCTTATATTATATACTAATCAGCTTTTTCTGGAACACAATGGAAACCTCGAATCGTCGTTAAGCCCATTTTTAATATCTGTTGGATATGATGACGAAGATTACAATTTCTCAGAGATTAAATTTAGTTTCGAATACTAAGTTAGGAAGATAGAGCAAAAGTGAAGTAACCCAAGAATCACACTCCGAGGTTTAATGCTATTCACTGGATTTAATTAACTGGATACAAAATTCCTTAATGGCTGGCAACTAGTATTATGTTATATATTGTTGCCTTAGAATATGATTGTTGACGAGAAACTTGTGATTTAATTTGGCTTTGAGTTGGCAGGCTAAGTGTTTGCGAATTCTTGCCCGTCGTGGGGCCAAATACCTAGAGTTGGATCGCTCATTGGATTTTTAATACCAAATACATCTCGTCCTGTGGTGAGGTAAGCCATCATGTCCAGTCGCTTCTCTCTCTTTCGCCAAGTCGTACAGAAAAAAGTCGATCAAGACAGCATTTATTTTGGCGCTTGGGTTATTTTTGAGAATCTCTCTCCGTATCATTTCCACACACCAAATGCTACATCCTGCAGAGAATGAGTATACATTACTTGGTTCTGTTGTGATTGGTAACAAACCTCGCAATTGAATTTCCCAGCTGTGACCAGATTTTATTAACTGTTTGTTGCGAATAGTGTTTTCGAGAGGCGGACTGTAAGACAAACACCCATAACTTTTTAAGATTTGAGGAATCCGATAGTCAGCAAATATTGTGATTTGGTCAATGTCTTTAAATGATCCGAACTGTTCTCCATCGAAAGCGGCCCAGAGATCGGCTACACAGATTTGAGCGCGCTTAAGGAATCGAACGGATTTTCTATTCTCAAAGCTGACCTCATCTTTGAAGGATGGAAATTCTCTTGCGAGTAAGTTCACCAAAGCTGCTGCTGAATGATCGGCAGCCTCTATACAATGAACAAAGCTCGAGTCATATTTCTACTAAGCAACAACTCATTAGCGACTAGATTTTGCAAGAATTAATTGAGACAGCGCAGACCTCGACCAGCACTTTTCCAGCTTCTCGGAGACAGCTCACTCTTTCCTGATAAAGTGGGATTTCTTCTTGGGTGGCGCTTCTAAAGACATGCTTTAGGATCTCCTCGTTACCTTTGGAATCATCGACCCAAAATTCTGGCGAGGTTATTGGAATATCTATGCATCGCTTCAGTTAGGATTTACGTTATGGCAAGGGCAGTATAGAAGATCTAACCCTCATCCAAAGCTCTCTGTAGGGCGGCGACCAAACTCCAGTACCCAGTCCATTTTCTATTCCTGTAATCAACTGAAAACCTCTCTTCTTCAGTCTTGTCTGACCAGAACGAAAAATTCAAGAGATCCATGGTAAATATGAAGTCAACTGTACTTTCATCTTTGGCTTTTGGATGTAGCTCGTGTGATGTCCATGTTTTTGTAGAGTAATTCCGTTTTTGCATTTGATCATGGATAACAGCGGCAGTAGCGCGAGTAGATTGAAGATTGAGAGCGACATCAATTGCGTTGTTATACACATATTCTGCTCCTTCTAAAACTTTTGTCTCCGGATTTGAAGGGTTGCTGTTTCCATAGTAATGCTGCTGTAGGAACTGTAGCAAGTCTGTATCTAGTTCTGGGTCAGACATTGTTGTAGATGGTATCTGACGGCGCTCGTTATATTTTGATGCAGTGGGATTCCCCAATTTGCAATCGTTGTCCGTGCGAGGTTGCCATCAAAGCTTTCCCCGTTCAACGAGATGTGGCGTGCGGGGGCGTTAGTTCCAGGGCTCTGGTACCTTAATCGTCTGTTAGATCTCCCGCAATGATGCTAGTGGACCAGAAGTGTGAACTTCAGTTGCCTTCAAATGTTCATGTCTGCTGTTATGAAACTCAGAGTACGGCTTAAGCCCGGTTCTAATCCCAATCTTGCCCACTTTTCGTTCCAGAATCTCTTTAGGACCTCGCTTATCAGTACAGAGCGGGTTCAAGGATCTTACCCTAGACCAGCCACCACTTCACAGAGAGGTATTACTAAACGCAGCTGCGGCCAACGTACCTAGAAGTACATTTGAATATTAGGGAATCTGCCACATTCTGTGTGTGGCCCTCTTCCTATGATAAGATTGCCAGAATGGGCCGCGACCTTTGTAACCAGAAATCGCTTGGCAATACGTTAAACACCTTAATCAAGGCGGTAAGGTCTATTCCTCAAATGTTTTGTTATTTTTCACATAGTTACTTGTACTCGAGCAGCATCTCTGTTTCCAACTTTTAAATTCGACGCGAATTTGTAATATTTTCCATTACTTTTTACGATTCGCAACTAATAAACTGCGACAGGCGCGTGTTTTACTAGTTGGAGCCGGAGGTATCGGTTGTGAGCTTTTAAAGAACCTAGCACTAGCCGGGTTTGGTGAAATTCACATAGTCGATCTTGACACTATTGATATCAGTAATCTTAATCGGCAGTTCCTCTTCAGACATGAGCATATAAAAAAATCGAAGGCTCTAGTTGCGAAGGAAGCCGCTTGTCAGTTTAATCCCAATGTCAAGCTCGAAGCCTACATGGCAAATATCCACGATTCAAAATTTGATATAGACTGGTTTAAAGGCTTTAATATTGTCTTTAATGCACTAGACAATTTGCAGGCTCGTAGACATGTTAACAAGATGTGTATTGCAGCTGATGTGCCTCTCATCGAAAGTGGAACCATGGGCTTCAATGGTCAGGTTCAGGTTATAAAAAAAGGTGTAACGGCTTGTTATGATTGCACACCAAAGGTGACACCCAAAAGCTTTCCTATATGCACGATTAGGAGTACACCAAGCCAACCTATTCACTGCATTGTTTGGGCAAAAAGCTATCTATTAAACGAAATATTCGGAGCTAGCGAAGAGGAGCAGTCAGATATGGATTCTATGGTAGATCGTGAGAATAAACAAGAAATCGAAAATCTGCGACGAGAGGCCATGGCACTAAGGAAGATAAGAGAGTCCATGGGCTGCGAAGAATTTGCCCAACTATTGTTTAATAAGGCATACAAACATGATGTTGAACGATTGCTCTCGATGGATGATTTATGGAAGACGAGGCGGGCGCCTGAAGCACTTGATTACAATTTAATCCTGTCGAAGGCTACTGAAGAGGGATTTTCTGCTGGAAAAGTGCTGCAAGACATGCATATAGCATGGAATGTTGAGGAAAGCTTAGTTGCATTCAAGCATAGTTTGGAGCGGTTAGGCCAAAGAATGCAACATCTAAGATCTACTGCTAGTGATGGTTCTGCAGAGCCAATCATTACTTTTGACAAAGATGATGAAGATACTTTGGATTTTGTGACGGCCAGTGCCAATCTACGCTCATCAGTATTTGGTATCGAACGTAAGTCAAAGTTTGATGTAAAACAGATGGCCGGCAATATCATTCCTGCAATAGCGACTACAAATGCGATTGTGGCCGGGCTTTGCGTCCTCCAGTCATTCAAGGTTCTGCAAGAAGATTTTCCAAGTGCTAAAGAAGTATTTCTCTCGCCCTTTGCAACTGAAAGACTCTTAGCATCGGACCGATGTCAAACGCCCAATCCCGACTGTTCTGTCTGCAGTGTTGCGTATAATCGAGTGCTTATTGACTTGTCACGTACCACACTGAATGATCTAGTTGAATTATTTTTAAAGGCAGAGTTAGGATATGGCGAGGAGCTCACCGTCAATGATGGAGAAAATCACCTACTATATGATATAGATGAAACCGTAAATCTTGAAAAAAAGCTTACGGATCTTGGTATGTGTTTATCAAATATTAGTTATCACTTGATTTAACTAAATGTTCAGGGGTTGGAGATCGTAGTTTTCTAACTGTTATGGATGAAGATGACATCCATCCCGACGGCCCGAGAGTAAATCTCGTACTAACGGTTCATGATTCGTGAGTTCTTTCGTACTAGTTCCCTCACATACAACTCACTTTAACATAGTACCATGGTGGATGGTAAACGTATTAAGAGCCTCGATATTCCCATCGCTACAGAAAATAAACAGCCATTGGTTTCGTTACTTTATATCCCAAGACGAAAGCCAAAAATTCAGACACCAGCTGATACTAGTTTGAAGGATTCAAATAAACGGCCTTTGACTCCTGACCCGATGCCCAGAGACTTGGCCAAAAAACCAAAGATAGGATCAACGGAACCAACCTCAATTTCAGTGAAATCAAATAATACAAGTAGCGACGTAGTCATAGAGATCTACGACAATGATGATGGGGCTATCATGATTGACTGATAATTGACTCTATTATTTTCCCTACTAATTATAAAGTATTTTTTCTCCGAAGAAAACATTTTCTACACGGCACTCAATCCTCCATCCAGGTTGAGTACACAGTTATTAGCATAGTTGTTGTTAGCCAAGAAGAGAGCAGCATCTGCAACTTCAAAGGCTTTTCCGAAACGTTTGAGTGGTATATTTTCCAGGGCTAGGTGATGTGCGTCCGGGGTCATGGCTGTAACAGGTATATATTAGAGATGTTCAACACGGCATTGTGGGAAAATGTAAGATTAGGTTTCAGATCTTAGGGTTATATGGGAGGGATGAGTACCTTCAGTCATTTCTGTATCAATGTAACCAGGTAATATTACGTTAACTCTAACATTCTTCTCACCCATCTCAGTTGCCAGTGATCTTGTCAGACCTGTCAAGACTTAGTTCAGACTACAAATTGTGATGGCTTAACTCACCAATTACGCCCGCTTTGCTCGCAGCATATGCTGTGCTTCCTTTGCCGCCCCTTACGCCGAGAAGGGATGCAATATTTATGATACATCCTGTGTTAATATTAACCCATTAACTTTGAGGCATGTCATACAATTGGAGGAAAGTCATCATACCTCCTCTCAGGGCTATCATATTCTTTCCTACAAACTTACAACCCAGGATGGTCCCGAGTAAGTTGATCTCGAGCACCTCACGCAAAAGGACTGAGCTAGTGACCACCAAAGGCGAAAAATGAGTAATTCCTGCAGCATTTACTAATATATTGATATGCTTCTACTAACAACAGTCAGGCCCTGGAAGATCTAGAGCTATAATTTACGCAGTTCATACACTAAAAACATGCTGATCTAGCGTGTTAACTGACCTCTTTCTTGATCTCCCCCCAAAAGCTCTCATCTCTGACATCACCCACAAGGCTTCGGTGCTTCATTTGGCCATCAATGGCACTGTGATTTAGGCTAACTCTTACTTTTTCAAGTGATTGGTAGTTTCTTCCAGCAAGTATACACTGAATACCTTCTTGGGCATAACGGAGGGCAATTGCAGCGCCTATACCCCGAGATGCTCCGGTGATCAAAGCATATCTTCGGGGGGACGCGACTCGTAATGATGTCGACATAGTAGGCTAGACAACTATAGATCTTAGAGAATCCCCCGCGTATTTCTACGGCGTTAGTTCCGCTAGAAAGATAATTGAAGGCAGCTGAATAGATATTAGTTGTAAGGCTTTCAAGTGTAATCTTCAGTCTCTAGTTCATTATTACAATAGGCGTAAATCGATAAGGAAATACGCTTGTGACTTTGACGGGGCTTGATTTCTATATCAGAAAGTTCATCGTTGACATCGGTGGCGTCAAAAAGCAGATTAGTTCAGCATTGATTACTAAGCTTCACTGGTCACCCGAGCATCAAACGTTCTTTTAGTCTAACCCCTCATGTCGTAACTCTGTCCAGTAGTCAACCTCTTAATCTGGGCCAAACCACCACTAAAATGTCACCTCGCCAGGCCAAGGGAGCTGCTAACAAGCAAACTGAATCAAGGAAACGCAAAGAGCCACCTGGCCAATCAAATGGCGGCGCGAAGATCCCAACAGCAAAAAGAGAGTTCAAGCGTAATAAAACACTGGATGCGCGAGTTATTGTAACTCAAAACTCAGATGCGGCGTTAAAGAATGGTGAGTTAAACGTGGAATCATTCCTCGCAGCACGCGAATTTGAGATACAGGCTCTCCAGAATAGTATTCAAAAGTCAAAGCGAAGCCTAAATACTAAAGCACTTCAAAGAGTTCCCAGAAGTATGCGACGAAGAACTGCGAGTCACAATGTTAAGAGAGTGCCGAAACGACTGCAAAAACGGGCAGAAAAAGAGATGCAGGATGGGAATACACCAACAGTAAGGGCTGGCAAGCGAAAGCCCCGCAACTCACGAGCTCACTTACGTGCCGAAACAGCCAAAAGACTAAGGCTCTTGGCAGCGACGAAGAGGTCCTTCACGAACTCGGAGGAAAAGACTCCGGGTATAAAAACGCGAGAGCCCCGACCGAAGCTGCAAAAAGATAAATTGAATCAGCCGCCGGAGCCTAAATCCAAATTCAGAAAGAGACAAATTCACAAAACATGGTTGCCAACTCATGTATGGCACGCCAAACGTGCTAAAATGACTGATCCAAAGAAACCGTTGTGGAGATTTGCTATACCAATATCGCCCACTGAAAAATCCTACAGACCCACCCATCGAGCTGGGAGTGCTAGAGGTGCGATAGCTTGGGATATGAGTTACACAAGTACAATTTGCTTGGAAGGTGGTGAATCTGAGTTAGAAAATGTTTTGAAGGCTGTCGGGATCACTGAACCGTGGCTCTGGAATGAAAACAATACTAAATGGAAAAATGGTACAAAAGCCTGGAATGGTTGGTTGATACGACTGATCGAAGAAAAAAGAATTCTTATAGGTCTTTGTACTGCGCTTTGGTTCTCCCCAGCACCTTGTATTGGGCCTGAAACATCACAAAAAGATTCAAAACGACTCTGGAATCGAGTCCTCATTCGTCTACATCCTTCTGCCTTTTTAGAAGCATGGACAGAGCTCCTCAGATTGTCAAAACTACAGCGACCTGTAGTGCAAATCCATGATCTTCGGTTTGAGGTTGGAAGCATTGAAATCACAGGCCCAGGATCTACTGAGGCTCTTTTGGGAATTCTCCATCCACACAGTAGTTGTCAAGCTTCAGATAAGATACACGCCGAGACATTTACATCGTTAGCTGGGGTTACCAATCCGAGCGCACTACCGCCTGGAGCTGTCTTGGCATTTTCTATTTTAGATCCCCGATTGCGGTACCCGGCACGGCCTGTAGACCTTCCATCCGCTACAGATGAAGCTGCCAACTTTAATCTTTTAAAAATACTCTCTGCATGGCCACCTGGTACTTGCACTAGCTCTTCAGCTCTCCTGGACCCAGATGTTCGATTCAAGGCTACCCGTCTACCAAGTCAGAAAGCGCTCAATCGTCGTAAAGGCCTAGCTCCACCTGGCTCATATCCTGCGCTAACAGAAAACGACCCGCCTATACCCGTTATTCTTCTAGCATCCCGGCCCAACCCATCTGTGTCTACCCAAGGGACATGGACCCTACTTGCGCCTTGGAAGTGTATACTCCCAATTTGGTACGGCCTCGTACATTATCCTCTTTCGACTGGTCAAAATATACGGTTTGGTGGTCTACAAGAGTTACGACAAATACATTTTGAGCGTCGAATCCCGTGGTTCCCTGGCGATTATCCTGGAACAAAGGCAGGCTTCAGCTGGGAAACTCAGGAGAGATTGGAGAGACACCAGGACTGGGCAAAAAGGCCGAAAGGAAAAAGAGTCGAATGGAGCTCACTTGATCTTGGGAATAAGCGAAAAGGTGAAGTTGGACTTGGATGGTCTAACGATTTTGAATATGTCCTACAAGCTAGCCTTTTAGGAGATGATAACTCGGTAGATAAAGACGTTAATTCAAACCCTAGCGCATCATTGCCCGTCGAGCACATCACGGGTAAAAATTTTACAACCATACTTTCAAATCGCAAACTAGTGACACCACCTGCTAATAAAATTGCAACTGTACATATCACTCTACTTGGTCGGGGCGTAGCGACGGCTTGTGCCCGAATCTATCGTTTACCCCGTCAGACAACAAAAAATACTGATATCTCTTTGTCGGGCACTCTACCTGCTACATTAAGAGAACAATGGCTCTCATTATTGCCGAGCAAATCCAAGTCCAAGTTGACTGCTAGTTCAAAAGTCAGGCTTGCTAATCGAAGTGAGCGAATACCATTAAATGTACCGCTTTCCAAGCGAGTACAACTATTGGCAAAATCTCTTCTTCAAGAGCCACCCTTACCTTATCCGTGTCAAGGGGAAAATAAGGGTGTTACACCGTTAGTGCCTGATGTAGAGGATCTTATTGGCTTCGTCACTACGGGAGAATTCTGTCTGGCAGATGGTGGGGGAACCGCCATGGGAAGCCTCCTCGTTAGCAGAGCTCTAGAGGGTGCAGGCTTCAGTGGCTCAAAGCCTGACCAGGGTGCTCGACTATGTATTGTGAGGAATGCGGGTGAGAACGTGGCTCGGCTAGCTCGTTGGGAGGTTGCTAACGGATAACTTGTTAACTGGTGGAAACAGATTTTTCACCGCTCCACAAGGCTTACTAAGCTATGGCCTCGGCCGTAAAGTGGATCATATTCATATTGTGGAGGCTGCAAGTAGCATGCTATCAACTTAACTTTATTTAAATATTTGCGAATCAGGTAAGGAAATGCCTCACAGGCTGATCGTTACTCTCCCTAGATTCTGAGTCCCAATTAGTAAATATACAAATCCTCGACTAGAAAAAGGTCGCTTCGGCCTTTCGAGTATTGAAAGAAGCCCTTCACCATAGAGGAAGGCTTAATAATTCATATTATTTGTCCGTGAATTGAAGTGCTAAGTAACAGACAATTTAAACAAAACGATGAGAGCTTGAGTACGAGTGTGTCGGGCTGAATCAGGTTAACTATCAAGTAAATAGAACTCGTCTCACCTTGAACTTATGCGTTGAACATACCAAGTCCAACCGCTCAGAGATCTCGATTTTAGCGCACTGGGGCACGAATTACTCCTCGGCCTCAGCTATTACGCGCCCAAGCTCTAACCAACTTCCCATTGATGAACTTTTCCTCACTGTTCAGCCATATCTTTGCCTCGTCCCAAAGTCTCGTCTTATCCTAGCGTCGCCATACTTTCCCTTGATTCCTTCATTAATGCATATTCTTGTTCAATCTATCAATGTATTCATCCTAAAAACTTGAAATTTTTCAATTATCCAGCTCTGCCTCATCACTGCCACAATGCTGACCCTGGAAGCCAATCATAGGTCGGAGAAATTCAGACCAAAAAATGAATGCCGCGGACGTTGCTGAACTCTCTATTTAATGTGCGGGCAAGATCTTATACCTGTATCGTCACAATCTGTGTAAATGGTGCCCTCGGCATAGGTGTTATTTCTTTCAGGCCAAAACTTCGACTGAATTTTCATCGGCCGCTTCAGCTGCGAAAAAAGGTATTGCCCTTGTATCCTAGATTGCAAGTATGAAATTCTGATTATGGATAGCTTCGCAAAGTTGTAAAACGAGCTCTACTGAGTGGGTGAGGAGCTTCAGCTGGTATTTTACAAGCGCCAGTCATATTTGGGCCTATGTGCTGTACAAACCTGGGGTGTGGGTGTCTGATTTCTTTGGGTTCAGGAAGCTGTGAAATCTCTGCAGTACAGGGTTTCGACAAATGACCTATTACTGCCACTCCTTCCAGTCGCCATCTCGATGAAATCCTCCAAATATACTCTGTCTTCACCAAATATTGGCCTTGTGAGAAGATTTGCCCCCCCCTCTTCGTAGAGGACATCACGTGCTGGTACTCAGCCTCAATCCCCTTTTGTTTTGCCTCGGTGATACTACAGTTAAATATGGGCTCGTCGGTATGTGACTCCACATATCCGCAGTCGTAGGAGCTGGAAGCTCTTGTCGCCTTAGAATTGAGCTTTAGCCATGATGTTACAAGTTCTCTATCACCTAGGCGTAGATGCGTTCCTCAAAAGGAGGCATCTCTTAAAGTGAAGTATGAGTGTCACCTTCCACGCTACAGGGGGGCAGTGGAATAGCCAAATGATGCGCAGAAGAACTCAGGAGATGGAATAACGTATCACGTGGTTGGCATAGCCTCGCTGCTCATGGACGCCTAGCGCGACGTGCGGCCTCCCGGTCTTGTCCTCCTCGACGCGCAGATGCCGGCTAGTGCCTGGCCGCTTTCGGAAAGGAGAAGCAAGGCGTGCAGAGCTGTTGCTCATCACGCCGGGCAATGGCATGGTCGAGCGTGGTAAGGATTGGATCCCCACTCGCAGTCGCCGCCCGCCTGGTGTCATAACCTCGAGTAACCTTGAGTCTCGCGGATCCTGGGAGGAGGGCTTGAAGCCACGCGCTCGTTTTCGGCTGTGGCTGCGCTCCGTGGCTCCTAATCACCACGAGACGCCACGTGCTAGAGCGCGAGGCTGCGGCCAAGCATCGATAATGGGTCGCCTAGTGTGAGCTTGTCGATTACTAGACTGAGCAACCTCCTCGCCCTACACCAGAGATCGCAGCCCCTATTCTGACTACACCCATCACCACCTATTTCAAGCATTTGGACAAACATCCTCACGCACTCAAGGATAACTGCAGATCTAGCAAAACTTCTCTTACAGGTTCGAGTAGACAGAACCTTACTGGGATGTACAAGGAAACTCACCTATCAGTGGTATCCGCAAATGAGACAAAACCTCTGGGTGTTCAGTTTATCGACACCATATCAGGATTGCAAGGTTACCGCAGGAGCCAGATGAATTCAAAGGATGCCACTTGACTAGCTCTTGGTTGGAAAAAAAACTAAGAATATGCAGAACTCTTCGAGTGATCACGGAGAAGAAACAAAGTATAAACTTCAAAGGCTATCCGTAGATGTAAATCATGTTTAAAGGAAAGGCTTGATCGAAACTCCTAATCTTTACTAAAGGATATGAGACTATTTAAATACACTGATATCTAGCAATGTTAGGGGATAGAGTGTCATGTCTCCTTACGGAATACAAGGGAACAAACTACAGATCTCATACCAGTTACACGTATTCTCGTCGCAGTCTTGAATACGAGACGAAACACAGAGTTGATTTGACGCATGAACTGAGTTATCCGTTGTGCTTTCCCACACCAGTCTTGGACATGCTGTTTGAAATTGAGCCGAGAGTCTAACCAAACGCCAAGCCATCTCACTCAAGGAAAAGGCTTTAAACTATGAATAGAATAGAATATAATTAATTTTGAGTCCCTACTGAGTCCATGACTATGAAGGACTGGTTAAACTATCACCTTTAATATGAATTAAAAGGCCCGATGTATCAAGCTTATTCTTGAGTCCTCCACCTATCACTAGAAGCTCTGACTTTGACGGATCAAAGTCTATCATATTTTCATTAGCTAGGTGGAAAAGTTTGTCTACCTCTTCTTTAGCTGTGGCTACTGCCTCTAATGCTGTGCTTCCGACAGCGAGAACCGCATTCTCTCATTATCTAGCCAAACAAGAACCCTATTAGCGCGAAAGATCCGGAATGGATGGCCATTAGAGGAGGCTTGGTGAGAGCCGCCACAATTCTTTTATTTAACAGCTGTCATGCTGTCAAACATGAGATTGTTTAGATGTTCAATTTTTTTTTGCATCAGATTTTAATTGCGTATGCAGCTATCTAGCTATGACACAATATCAAAGAAAAGTACAGAATAGATAATTCAACGTTAAGGAAGAGCACTCATGCCTCGGATTTCATTTGCAAATACCACTGCGAAATTACGGTGGATTTTTCTTCGCCCCAGGTCAACCCTTATCCGTGAATACCCACTCAGGGAAACGTCTCAAAAACCCTGAGTTATCCAGACATGCCTCCATCATCTATCAACTTTTCTTCGCGCAAAATATGGTCTGAGATATCTCCTTCCCAAGTGGAGAAGGTGCTCAGACTACTCAGACTATACCGGATAACACCACCAGGAGGCGGACCACAATACCCTCTATCGTTGACTTGTATTTATAGTGTCAGCTACACTCTCGCAAGCGAAGTCTTGCCGCGCACAAAACCCAATTCGTAAAACTCCTTACCAAAATTCGGAATCTCACGCCCGTCGAGTTTATATCCTTCCATTGCATCATCTTGTCAACTTGTCCTGATCCCTCTCACGTCCATCCCAAAGAACTGTCTCCCAGATTTGTGCGCCACGCTTTGCTTCCTCCGTCGGGTATAAATATCGGCGTGGGCGTGTATTTGGTGACCAGCTGAGGCCAGAGAATGTCGATGAGAGGTGTGGTCATTGGAATGAGGATATACTACGTCGTACTTGTAGACTTGATGAGGCTTAGGTAGGATTCGGACTCTTTGGGAGTGAAAAATTGACGTGGTGAAGTATTTTGAATCATTTCCTCGTGGGCCAACTTGTTCGGTATTGCGAAGTTTGACTGGACTTGGCTCTGGGAGAATATTTCACTCCCAGATTCGTAAAGGACACCGCGTACAGGTGTTCATTCTTGCCCTCCATTAGATGGTATATCTTTGGTCAAACTATATCCTGTGATTAGTCGTGGTGCACAGTTGAGGGCTATTTCGAGTTGGCGTAATTCCTCGGATGTTTGAAGGGCAGTCGCAAGCAGAACCACAATGTTTTTAGAGAGGCGTAGTCCTGATACACAGGGGTAAGACGTTAGTGCACTTCGTCATCACACGTAGATATTCTTAGGAGACGTATGTGTATATACAGAGGATTCCTTTAGACTAGGAAGAGAAATACACAGAGCTTTCATCAATACACTTTTACTTTACATTTTTCATTTGACCCTCGGTTTTTCACACATGCACATCTATTATAGGAGTCTGCGACGCAAAGACTATATTGTACTAGGCGTGTGGGAGCGTTTATGCCGTGAAAGGAAGGGTTAGAGTACTCTAGTTAAGAGCAGGAACAACATAGGGCATGACCCTCATCATCTATTGGCAAAAATTAAGCACAACAATATACAAATTTACTATGAACTTTGAAGCTATTTAGATAGTTTTAGCTGTCCTTCATAGTCATAGACTCAGTAGGGACATAAAGAAAATTTTTTTCTACTCTATTCTATGTTGTGAAGGCCATGACATCGGGGGCAGATCCGGAAATGAGGGCGGTTATCCGCTGGCTGAATTCTGCTGGACTGCGGAAGGAGACCATGACGTCCCGTTCCAGAGAGACACAGAGATAGATGGATATGACTCAGGCATTTCATATTGTATTAGTAAGGATTACTGTTGTGTAAAGTAAGGATTATGGCATTTGAATTCATTAATTATCTAATCTTAATTATTAACTACTTATATAAGTTTCAGTAGACCATCGACGTCAGAGCTATACCTGACCAGATAAACTGGAGAGCCATAGCATGGTATTGGGCTCTGTCAGGAATTGCATAAGGAATAAACAAGGCACGATGGCATGAACCTTGATTTCTAACAATTACTAGCTGCTTGTGGGGGACTATTCTCAACACCTGTCAGTGGTGTCCCCTACGAA